TATTTTCATACAAAAAACAGAACGTGCTATTTTCATTACAAAATAAACATTATATATATACATATATATAAACGAAAAAGAGTTTAAGATGTATTGTATATTGAGATTTGTATATATTTATATAGACGTAATGAGAAAGAAACATTTTTGTAGATTTTCTTTCCGTGGAAAATTGTTCTTCTAGATGCTGATGATGGCGTAAATCGCATCGGCCTTAAAATCAGTTTTCGTTCATTGACGTATTTTGCTTTGTGAATAACAGAAATTCGTGTATGTGTGTATATAATTATTGCATGTGTGTATTATTATGTAGCATCTGTACATAATACCACTTAATAAAGTGCCATTGATATTTAGGAGTTGTGTGCCAATCACAAATGCGTATTCATGATACATACACGATATGAAATATGACACGGATAGTTCATTATCTTATGCTAATTTAATGTTTCAAATTTTTGTTCTGTACTTTTCAGTTTTTGCTCCGTATTTTACATCTATCTCCAAGCAATTTAATTTCATATTTAACATATCACGATATACCTTGGAGTGTGGAAATAAAGCCACGCATGACGTAAGATTATGATAGAATTTTTATTATCACTCCATGACTAGATAATAATATAAAGATCCGTAATAACTCATAGTGATGTGAAGTTTACGAACTGCGCCAGATATGCGAATACCTTCGACCGCACACCCGGCAGCGACGAGCGAAGAGAAATACGATTTTTATACTGTACAACATTAATCTCTCTTTTATGAGTCTAATATACCTTTCTTACCGTTTCTTTCCCTTCGCGATATAATCGTACTCGCTGTTACGTGAAACGTACGTTTAAAGGGCAGGTAAGAGAAAAGACAAAGGGAGCATGAAGAGGGAGACAGAAAGGAGGGGAGAGGGTTGGAAATGATATTTATGCATGTTATATACAATTCTACAGTGATGTTCTCTCTCTTTCTGTCTCTTCTGCTGTTACTACCGCTCGTATTGTATGCAAGCACGCCATTTAATAACAATATGAGGCATATAAATTTGAAAAAATCACAATATTTTCCTGTTACTCTATTTATATTATTTTCTGCGTGCATTTAAATGTTGCTTTTGTCACAAAATTTAGAAGATATTTTAAGAACTGGAGTAATTTTATGGCGCAAATGTACAATCTTTTTTTCTTTTCAAGAATGAATTGATTGTCACACGCAGTAATTCTCTGTTGATATATTCTCTCAAGAATTAACATAATGGAAATATTAGAAAAATTATAATATTATGTAATGTAAGAAATATTCTTTCATGATTTAATTAATTGGGGAAGATAATATTATTTATAATGGAGAATGAAAAGCAATCAATCTCCAAGTTAATACAAGCAAGCCTCATATTATTATCATGCGTTACTCTTAGCATTTATCATACATTCAAGTGCATCGATTCGCATATTTCTCTTTCCTGTTTTGATTATCAACATATCGATTTACGAATCGAGAACTGATTTCTCTCCTGATTTCTTCTGTCCCTTATAAATTACCATTAATCGACGGCTTTATGTGACCTCGTAATAAATCAACGAGCGAGGTGCAGTTCGAAGTTATTATAATTTTGATCGTTGATTGCATAGATCGGCGTACAAAAGTAGCAACGCAGAATACATAAGCCAGAGATCGTATAATTTTTGAAGATTGTACGATTTCTGCGGGGCTTTGCATTCACTTCTCTCAGGCTTCGAATTTTCTCAGATACAATAATAGTTTAAATGCAGTTATTTAAGTGGATAGCGTAAACAATATTCCTTTGAAAAAACTTTCGCAATCACATCAATATCGTTCAACGTAATATATTATTTACGTTGCGGCTTTTGCGCGTCGATAATTTTACGCAGCTTCAACTAGCAAGGGAAAGTTCCCAATTCAAATTGCTCGATTTTTATTATTTTTACTGTTAAAAAAAGAATAAGAAAATTCAATGAACCAAAATTGTTTTACACGAAACTTGTGATTTGCACATACAGATATGTTACGATAGTTCTCAGGTTGAAATAAAACGACTTTGAATTTTTTAAAGACCGTAATTAAGGAAGATTGAAATCGAACATCTTGGATTGGGTCAACTTTTCCCATGGGTCTAATTCGCGAATTATTTACAATACACATCTCAAGATTCTAGTGTCACACGCAAGCAAGGTAGATCGCCAAATCGCACACCTCCGACGCCCGATTTTCAGGATTCAATCCTTGCTGAGAGACCACCTAAACAACGATAATAAATCGAAACAAATCGTTTTATTTCGATTGTGTATCTCAGAGAGCTCTTCTTTATTTCCTTTCGGTCGACGATAACAAATCAACAAGATATAATAATATTGTAAAAAATTTATATTATCTCTACATTCTCTGAGATCACGCACAGATTTCCAAACATCTTCGAGACAGGAAAAAAGAACAACACATATGTACATATCAAAACAATTGGATTACGAATATTTATACAGATTACGAATTTATACAATTATACTCTCTTTGGTGTCTTTGAAAAACTGTAGCATGAAAATCGGGCTTATGTCAAAGGTAGTGGTATGATCATACGAATGATCACATTCGTCGTGATGATGCGAATTCATCCCGTTGGACTGACTATCGCGCGGTGAGAGTGTATCGTATATTAATATACCAATATCTTGGTATCGCGAAACTGTTGCGTGTTATAAAATCTCTTTTTTTTTTCTATTCTTCTTTGTTTCGTCCAAATGAAATTGATGAATTGATGGAAAGGTGATACCCGGAAATTATTAACGATCGATGAATCGGAATCAGCGACTATCGCATTCCGTTCACCGAATCACGACGAATCGATCCGCGTATCGAACAGAGTCCGGGGGGACACGTTTAACACTATCTCCTATTTATTACTCGACAATCAAACTCCGTAATACCAAGAAACGAGGAACTTGTACATAAATATATTTAGATTAATCGTAGTATCGAATTGCGAATCGTACGTGTGTCATAAGTGTAACGTCACACGGCACCGATACGGCCGCTCGACGATGACAAGAGATCGTATGAGGAGGGACGGTGTAAAATACCGATGTAGAATAACTCGTGGACTATCATGTGCGCGAATATCATGTCCCGTCGTCGTTGAAGATGATATTGTGTCATCTTTATCGAGAGTGGGACCTTCGATAGGTCTTTTCTTGCAACGTTATATTACAGTTTTCGAAAAACTTCAATCAACAATTTATTAATTTAAATCCATTCTAACATCAATTCAATGAAAGTATTAAAGATCCGAGAGCGAAGAAAGTGATGTCTATTGCCATTTCAAATGTTGAATCTTTCATATTGAAATATCTGTATATATAATTATAAATTTTGTTCTAAGTTTTATAAATTATTTATATTTTTTGCAATAAATTTAACAAATATTTTATTAAATATTATAAATTATATTATATATTATATATATTATAAATATATATACATGTGCACATAGTTATAATTATATAATAATTAATATACTGCAACAGTGAGGTATCTGAAAAATGAAAAAGTACAAATCTATTTTAAACAGATAATCTTGTTTTAATTGGAAAAATAATTTTTTTTTAGGATATAGTTACATATACATTATTTGTACAGAATGCAATGCAAAATATTTGAAAAAAAAAAAACTAATATATGCGACGATAACAAATCAACAAGATATAATAATATTGTAAAAAATTTATATTATCTCTACATTCTCTGAGATCACGCACAGATTTCCAAACATCTTCGAGACAGGAAAAAAGAACAACACATATGTACATATCAAAACAATTGGATTACGAATATTTATACAGATTACGAATTTATACAATTATACTCTCTTTGGTGTCTTTGAAAAACTGTAGCATGAAAATCGGGCTTATGTCAAAGGTAGTGGTATGATCATACGAATGATCACATTCGTCGTGATGATGCGAATTCATCCCGTTGGACTGACTATCGCGCGGTGAGAGTGTATCGTATATTAATATACCAATATCTTGGTATCGCGAAACTGTTGCGTGTTATAAAATCTCTTTTTTTTTTCTATGCTTCTTTGTTTCGTCCAAATGAAATTGATGAATTGATGGAAAGGTGATACCCGGAAATTATTAACGATCGATGAATCGGAATCAGCGACTATCGCATTCCGTTCACCGAATCACGACGAATCGATCCGCGTATCGAACAGAGTCCGGGGGGACACGTTTAACACTATCTCCTATTTATTACTCGACAATCAAACTCCGTAATACCAAGAAACGAGGAACTTGTACATAAATATATTTAGATTAATCGTAGTATCGAATTGCGAATCGTACGTGTGTCATAAGTGTAACGTCACACGGCACCGATACGGCCGCTCGACGATGACAAGAGATCGTATGAGGAGGGACGGTGTAAAATACCGATGTAGAATAACTCGTGGACTATCATGTGCGCGAATATCATGTCCCGTCGTCGTTGAAGATGATATTGTGTCATCTTTATCGAGAGTGGGACCTTCGATAGGTCTTTTCTTGCAACGTTATATTACAGTTTTCGAAAAACTTCAATCAACAATTTATTAATTTAAATCCATTCTAACATCAATTCAATGAAAGTATTAAAGATCCGAGAGCGAAGAAAGTGATGTCTATTGCCATTTCAAATGTTGAATCTTTCATATTGAAATATCTGTATATATAATTATAAATTTTGTTCTAAGTTTTATAAATTATTTATATTTTTTGCAATAAATTTAACAAATATTTTATTAAATATTATAAATTATATTATATATTATATATATTATAAATATATATACATGTGCACATAGTTATAATTATATAATAATTAATATACTGCAACAGTGAGGTATCTGAAAAATGAAAAAGTACAAATCTATTTTAAACAGATAATCTTGTTTTAATTGGAAAAATAATTTTTTTTTCAGGATATAGTTACATATACATTATTTGTACAGAATGCAATGCAAAATATTTGAAAAAAAAAAAACTAATATATGAAAAATGTCAAACATGATGTTACTAAAAAGTTCAGTTACATTTAATAAAGAATGGAAATCACTGTGTTTTCGCTTTTAGATCTTTCATATACAAATCCTGCATCAAGGACACTAAAATAGATTCAGACTTTTATCCAATATATTCAAATCTTAGATTTTTGAAATTTGCAAAATCTCTCATTTTTCGTTTAAGGACATATCGCAGAAGATGAGAGCTCTCTTCGACTTCCCTCGAGGACGACGACGGCGTCGCCGATTTCAGACGTACGCCCCGCGCCGACAGCACGTTATTCTATACGGTATTTGGCGACGCGCGATTTTGGCGGGTTATGTGGCGTAATGGGAATGGGAATGATGGTGTGCGTGCGGGGGCGGTGGCTCACCAAGCCAGGAATCCGGCGACGGCGGAAATTCGGGATAACCGCCGGCACCGCTGTTATTGCCACCGCTGTTACCGCCACCTCCGCCACCACCACCGCCGCTCGACTCGTTACTCAGATCAGACGCTGGTCCTGGCACCATGCCGCCCGGTCCCCCTGGAATCATACGTTTTCCGTCAGTCGTAAACTTGCGACGCGAGCCGGAATAGTTTAAGCTTGAGTTCCTTCCTGTCTCAATCCGAGTATATTATTGATCACCGGTCCGAGAGAGTTGAGGAGGCTGGGGGAGTTCGGACAGTTCGAAATATTGCAAGAATTAAAAAGTATAGAATCTTTCGTTACAAACGAGAAGAGACGTCAGCATGACAGCTGAAAAAGAGTTAATGGTACACAAAATTGATATGTAGTGGAAAGTTTTATATCTGATGAATTAATTTAATTTAAAAAGAAAATTGATAGTTAATTTCTTATATGAACGGTACATGTACGTTGCTACGTTTATTAGTAAAATTGTTGTTTTTTTTTTTTTTTCAACTTACCGAGAGTGGTATACACCGAGAGACCAGCGTCTGGTGGGTACGGGAACTGGGGCGGTAAGGACGGCGATCTGGACGTTGAGAGATACGGGGGTGTCGTCGCTCCCAGATATCCTCGGGGCGGTCCACCCCCGGCCCCGTTTCCACCGCCGCCTGGACTTGCGCCCTCGTCCAGGCCCATGTTGACCACCGTTCCGTAGCTGTCGTTGCTCAAGTCTGCAAGCAAAACGTTCCGTTTTTAAGATTTCAGATCGAAAGTTAAGAAGAAAAAAAATGCTTAAGCGCGTTTCCTTAAAAAAAAAAAATATTTGGAATATTTGAAATTAAATACATAGATCAGATATAACAATATCTGAATAAGAATGTTGGATAAAGATTGGCTAAAATAAGTGTTTTTATGTTTTGATGGGCTATCTATTCGTAATGAGAAAATTGTCTTTTAACGCCGTAACTTTTGGAAGTCGAAAGTCGAGTTGCCAGCGACCGGCATCCATTGTCTGGGATTCCCAGTACCCAGATGCCTGTTATCCGAGGGGAAGACGATCTTGTCAAATATTCAGGAGATCGCAGAGGCTAACTGCCGGCGCACCGTGTCCGAGATTTCAGGAAGATTGCGGGCCATTGAATTTATGCCTGCTATTACCTGTACTTATTCGGGAACGAATACCGCGCACATAATACATCGCTCGTCTAGATTGCTTCGGAAGCGGCTGATGCGATTATTAGAAATAACTTTGATATATAATTATTTCACGAATCTTATTAATATAGCTATCAAACTGTGTGCATATAATGCAATAATTTTATCTCATATATATATGCATTTTTTACGTATTCTTTCTCTTTCTCACATACATTTAAAAGAATGAATATATCATTTCCTTCTAATTTACATTTCATTTATTATTCTATTTTAGTCAAGTCTCATATTATTTTATCAAAATTCATATATTTGTGAAGTTAACTGAAATTGAAATAATCTGTTCTTAAAATTAAATGAACAAGTTACATATACAACAAAAAATTATTGTTACCACTACTTGATCAGTGAAAAAAAATTATTAGTTATAAAATAATATTTATAGTCGAGAAGAATTGCGACACTAGAGTGCATAAGTATGATATATTGTATGAATCTCTTTCCTTGTTATCTTCTTATTATCTTACAATTAGAGAGAATAATAGAATAATAATGCAACTCACCATGATGACCAAAGGTGGAGTCCAAGTCTACCTTGAGCTCGTCTTTATCAAGGAGCTTATCATGTCTAGGCGAATGACCGCCAGCACCGCCCTTCATACTACGGAAGTATTGAGACCATCTTGTTCTACCGGCATCTTTTTTCAGCCTCTTCTCCTTTGCCCTCCTACGGAAATTATAACGATGATAAGTAATTAATAACGATCTCATCGCAGATCGCGTAAAAAATTTTGCTACGAATAAATTGATATAAATTATTGATAGTAATTAGTTTTATGATATTTCGCAAAAACCCCTTGATATTTTTTTATTCTTACAATTATACCTTTAATAATATTTAAAAATTGTTGGTACATAGTACAATGGATGCTTAAAAGGATGAGAATTTACTACATCAAAAAATTTCTAATATAAAAGAATTTTTTCTCATTGCGTTTTAATATCACGCGTACAATAAATGGTATCAAGCACCGATATAATTAGAGAAAAGAATAAATTCTGAAACGATAAACGGCTTTTACTCATGTTGTACTATGTACATGAGTATATTTATAAGTACTTCTACGTATCTCTAGCACCTCGTATAAGATCTATTCACCACTATCGCTTCGTTAAAAATGTGCTGAAAAAAATATATCTTATCTGTCTCAAAACAGCAGACAGACGTCAATCTCGCATTATGTTATATATCGATTCGGATTCGCTAGAAAATTGCAATACACGTGGGCATTTTATAAATTTATGTATGTGTTATATATGATATATATTATATATATTTATCTACAGCCATTGATAGAGGCCTTATTTACTTATCCTTGACGTTACATATTTTCACGGCCGCTTTCTAACACTATCCCTATCTGATAATCGACAGAGGTCAGCGGTCTATAACTCTCTTTTTACAGATAAAATATTTTTTTTCGCAACTTTGTTACCTTACTTTGTCTAGAATATCACGTAGTGCCACTTGAGCGATAAGAGGGAAAAATGTGTATTCACGGTAACAGCGCTTGTGAATATCATAATAGTCGTGGAATATAAAGTTAACGATATTTGTAGCATCAATTTTATTATTACAATCTTTCTCTTTCTTTTTTTTTTTATTCTAGATTTATAATCTGGAAAATTAAAATCATGATATATTTCTTTTTCAGTTTACGCCAATTTATTATAAGATGTGATCGTTAATATTTTGAGAATTATTTAATATTTTTATATTAAAAAAGATATAAATATATGAATTCGACTATCTTTTGACATTTTTGAACCTTTGCTTTCACGAATGGTTTCGGAAACCTGTATTAGAAATCACGTTAATACAAAATCAAATAATACAAATTTCTCTGTTTAATTCTTTTCTAATTCTATTCTTTGCAATTTTTATTTTCATATGTATTGTATTAACACATGCCTACTTTGATTAAACATAAATAAAATTTCTCGGAAAGAACGGGAGAAATTTTGTAGGTGCTATCCAACTTTTCTTACCTGTTCTGAAACCAGACTTGAACGACACGCATATCGAGGCCTGTGTCCTGAGACAGCTGTTCTCGCACGTGCCTCGCTGGTTTTGGACTAGTGTTGTATGCCAGCTTGAGAGTTTCGAGCTGTTTCGCCGTGATCGTTGTTCGCGGCCTTTTATTAGGTTGATCACCGTCTATGCTTCCCCCATCTGCCAGTTCTGGAATCCGATTGAGTTGCGTATTGTGCCATGCGATTTTCAATTAATCGATCAATAATTTAATAGCTATATTAAAAATATTCATCGTACTTTGTTATGCCTTTTATTACCATGAAAAATCATGAAATTGCCTTGAATCATATTTTTACATCGTATTCAAATAATTTTCTACATCCCATCCTAAGTAAATAATTTTCATTAGTTTCATGTATTGTAAAATATGTGAAATAATTTTTAAATTGACAGCAAAAATTTTACTTAAGATTAAATTGGTGATAAAAACTGCTGTGGACTGTTGAAATAAAATTAAATTACGTCTTAATAATAAAAGGTTTAAATTCGCTAAAAAAAAAAAAAAACTTCAAAGGGTTACATACGAAGAAAGATTATATCTCACCTTTCGCCTTGGCCTGCTCGTAATCGGGCTTGCAGACGAGTTTCCTATCCTCCATGAGATAAAACTCGTCCCCGGTGTCCAGTTGCCGGGAGCAAAGAGCGCACGAGAAACACGTCAGGTGGTAGACCAATTCCTGCGCCCTTCGGACCACCTGCGAAGGCGCCAATCCTTGGCCGCAGCCCGCGCATTTCGTCCCGAAACGCCTGCCACACCAACAACATACAATATTTTCACATTACATTCACACATTAATGACAAAACTATACGGTTGGTGTAGCTTTATCGCGATTCCTCAAATCGAGTTAATCTGATAATCGGATACGGATATGGCGATAGCGATTATATTACAGAATCATATTCCTGTTTATTGTAATCTACGATAATCTTCAATCATGTACTTTATTGTATCATTTTAATATTGGCATGCAATTATGAAGAAGATAATCCTACGGTAATAACGTTGAAACTGAAAGATTGACAAAAATATGAAGAGAAAGCTAATTTAATTTCGAGAAAAAAAAAGGAAAAATGGCACCTCGTCTTACGAATGAGAAAAAGCACTCTCTCGACGAAGAATCGATACCGGCATACTCGATATATGTATTTTAAAAAACAACATTTCTTCTGCGCTTTGTCATATATACTTCACTATTATCGATAAGGGGATAAGTCGAACAAATAATATCGCGCGAATAAAAGAGTCGAGAAAATTTTGTATTTCTTTCTTTGATAATTCTATATCGAGGTTAAATCATTTTCTTTTGATATAATCAATAATTATGATTAGAAGATGAATTAATGATACTAATGATAATAATGATACTAACAAATCGTGATAAATATTTTAGATAAATTGCGATAAATAATCTTTTTTTTTTTTTAATGTACAAAGATAGAGTTTTTGTAAATACGCTAAATATATTACAAATTTTTGCCGCATAAAAAAACATGTTTAAAATAATTGTTTGAGAAGAGAATAATTATTTATTAATTGCAATAATCAAATATTGTATAACGATAGAGCAATACCGATGTTACTTCACGAAATTTTAATCCGTAGGATATACGTACGATATTTGCACTTAAATTATGCAGTTAAATTTGTGATAGCGATTATTGGTGCTTACTTGAAGAAGTCATCTTTGCAGAACACGTGGCCGTTTCTCGCGAAACATTTGTCGGTCAACCTAGCACCACAATCCCGACACGTGAGACATCTTGCGTGCCAACATCTCTCGAGAACCCTCAAAACGTATTTGTCCAAAATAACTTCCTGGCATCCACCGCATTTTGGTATCGTGGCTGTAACATATAAATAGAGACGATGAATAAACGAAGTGTATAATACAAAGCACAACGAAAAACAATACAAGATATATATGTATATAATAGTGAAAATGTCGAGGCATCAATAATTTCCGAGTTATAAATGATTAAAAAAAGAAGGGCTTTTCGGAAACTCAAAACTTTATGGGGGAAGTTAAAAGATTATCAAAACTATTTTTTTCAATTAAAATTTCTGGTAAAAAAAAATTTACTTTAATAGAATTTTAATTTAAGGTTTAGTTACAAAGATATATGATGTCAAAAAATGGAAATTTGCAAAAAAAGATGAGATCCATCGACACATTTTCGTTGAAGAAAAATCATTTCTCACAAATGATTTCAGAAATCTGCCATTAGCAGGTGGTACAGTGACCCTGGGTCACCTTATATAGTTTTTAATTTATTTTAATATGTAATTAATATAGTTTAAAATAATATATATTTTGTCACATATGCATATGAGACGCATATTATATTAAAATATATAGTCAAGCTTAACCGCAGTATATTATATAATATCTCTGTGATATCTGAAATAATTTCAGTATTAAAAAGTAATAATTAAATCAATGTTGTTATAATATTAATATTCTTCCGAATAAAGGATGATAATTTTCGAATCCTATTACGAATTGTTCTGCATAGCGCAGAATTTTAGCATTGACATAAAAATTATTAAATCCGTAAAATTAATGTAAGCTATTAATGTGTTCAGAATTTATTTCGAATATTTCGAGCCTAAGAACCGTGTGATATTATCCGGATATATGCTTATTTCCGGTATTCAAAATATTCACAATAATATTCACGGGGATCCGAGCATCTGCAGTATAAAATATATCTGTTTCAAGTATTTTCCAAGTATCCATTAGTTTATCTACGTGGGAAAAGAGAAAGGCTAAGAAGGACCGATACTGTTAAATTTGACAGGTACCCGATTTTTTCGAGATACACACTCAGGTAGCAGGCATAACAACTTGTTAGATATCTTAGGATCCGAATATATTTAAAAACCAAGAAATCAAAAATATTGAATTGCTACGCTATCACGACGTAACGCCCATCCATTTCGCGTATCTCCAGCATCCGGGAAGATGAATTAACGACTCGAAGAAGCGAACACAATTCGGGGAACGTCGAAAAGAGCTTCTCGGAGCTTCTTATCGCGCGTATCGCACTTGTCGGCACTTACGATGAAGGATCGCCGGGATATGGAGCGGCAGATGATCTAGCTCAATGGCAGGCTGATCTAAGGGATACATGCCGCCGTGCGATATCGTGGAACCGACACTATCGAGACGATCCGCGCCGTTTCGTTGCTCCTGACGAACGTTGCGTGACTCCGGGCTGCTCTGCGGCGTTAAAACGTCGTGCCGTTGCGATCGGTACATCCCTTCCAGAGGAAGAGCCTCGCACCCCAACAACTCCAGTCTTATCTTGGTCATAACTGCTGCCACTTGTTTCGCCCGCAGTCGCACTCCCTGCTATAATATTATCTACCGCATTCCCGTCGTCTCGGCGAACGAATCGCGCTACGAGACTGATATCGTGTCTTCTTTTTATCGAGACGACCGATATCTCCTTTTCCCTGTTAAATCTAAAGGCACTGTGTGAAACAAAACGGTATCTTTGTAGAAAAGCCGGATTTATCTCCGAGATGCGCGCAGCGAAGATGAAACTTCGAGCCTTCGATCATCGATGCAATCTCCGGAGTAACTTTCTTCGTGTGCGTTCGATCTTGTAGAATAAATGAAGATACATTTCAAGACCTTTGATCTTAAAAATCGACTACAAGCTCCGCAGAATCACCAATCCGCATTTGTCGTGATCGTGCAACTTCTCCCTCGGTCAGACACTTCGGAATCTATGAAACGCACGAAACTCGCTTAAATAAGAGCTCTTCAGGTACTTCATTTTTTGAATATAATTCTGGATAACGTCGAACATACACTCTGCGAAATTGTTAATGAACCGGGTACACGAAGCGAATAATAACTTTATTTTATCGGACCGATACTCCCTTGAACGGTATCACGCTTACGGGAAAGGGGAGAAAGCGATCTCCGATATGACGAGTTCGGTGCAAGGGTACGCGCACGACTGTCTCGCTGGCGATGATGTTGCTCGTGCGCACGTGATACTCATGGGTGTGGCGGCCGATCGGTGGGGCGAATGCCTGGATTATTGGGTGCAGGGGCACCCACCGGATGCTGGCGTGGGTGCCGATTGGAGAGACGCCCGACCGCCTCTAATATGGCGCACGCCATCCGACTCGGGTGCGCCGAAGTCACCCCCGTCGCGCGAAGGGATGATGGGCTGAGGATCTTGTGGAGGGAAGAGAAAGAGAGAGGGACAGATGAGACCTACCATCCTCGTCGGTCGCTGACGGTGGAGGGCGATATTTAATCCTTTCGGACGCGAGACCGAAGATGCTGTCAGATGCCGCCGCCGTTGGATGCAAGCCGATTTTTTTTTGTGCATGTACGTTTTTTATTCGCGCGTTGCTGAAAGTTAGATTGTACGTTTTCAAGGGGATGCTGATTTCTGGTAGCCAGCATTTAGGTTGATATGCAAAAAATCGATATATGCACTTTCCTGAATTGTTTATTTCCATTAAAGCGATATGAGTATTAGCGATATTAAAAAATGCGTTATGTAATTTTACGTATTATTTATTATTGGATTTTTCATAAGCGTAATTTATTTTCATAAATAATATCATAAAATGTGCGAAATTTAATTTTGTCGTTTATTAAAAATTCTTCTGAAAATATATTGTCTACTGACTTTTACGATGTCACCATGGGCGTCCGCAGAATTTTTTCTAGGGGGGCATATCACTTTGAGATTAATTTTAAAAAATGTATACTTAAATATTTTTACATCTTTTAGTAGCTCTCTTTTAAAGCTTTCTCACCGCGTCAATATAGATGTAAATCGAAAAAGATTTTTGTTTTTTTTTGTGTTTTTTAAATAATTTAATTTTTTTAATAAAAAACTTTTTTTTCCATTTTCCAAGGGAGAGGGGGCACGTGCCCGTTTTGCCCCCACTGCGGACGCCTATGGATGTCACATGACATATTTTAATGCGAATGAATATACGAAGAATCGTATAATACGCATTTATTGCAAACAAACAGATTTATAGTAAGATGACTTATTGGAAGCACAGGCTAGGGAAGGCCTCATTCTCTGTGTCGGGTATTGAAAATGCTTGAAAACACGTTGTGTCGCTTAATAACTCGACGCTGCTGGTCCGTCATGGATTACCGATGCATCGCGGCGGCTGTATTCATTGGAATCGTCGCGCAAAAGAATTCACGAATCATCCCTCGAGAGTTCCTTTGAGCTCGAGCTGCTGATTCTCTTCGATTCGGTAAGCAACGAGGAGCCGTAGCAGTAAGTAAGGATAGCGGCTGGGGGCTGAGTGTGAGGCTCGGAGTAAAGAGGAAGAAAGGAGAGAAAAGGAGGTGCGGAGGAAGGAAAGGGGGCGACAGGACACAAAAGGAATCCAGCAAAATTAAGAACGATCACGGGGATGAGGGACGCCATTTTATAATCTTGAGATCATTCGCGTATATATATATATCTTCCGCTCTTCATTTTATCTCTTCCTTTTTACTCTCCTCTTAACGATCGCTCGCGCATTTTCGACCGTACGGATCGACCGCGCGTATATAAATTATGAAAACCGCAGCTGTGAGTACGAGATGAAATCCTTGTTTTCGGTTTATTTCTAGTCGATTAGCCTTCAGGCAATTAATTCTTTAATTAATAGTTCGACGGATCAGCCGCGTTAAAAAGCAAGAGGATTATGTTAAAAAATAACTTATGTTGTATAATAAATTCTCTTGTAAAATCTAAATTGAATAAAAAAAAAAAATTTATAAAAAAATGATGTATAAAAAAAATTTTGTAGAAATAGAGTGTGTGGATATTATTATTGACTCACTCTCACATATNNNNAATTTTATATAAATATTTACGATATTAATTTATTTTTTATTTAATTTAACATATCTATATTGCAAATATTTTAATTTAGTATAAATATTATTATCTTGCACTATTTAAAATTTATTATTAACTTGCTAAATCTATTTATTTAAAAGTACTATATTCATTTCACTATATTATATTTATGTGTTATATTTATTTCCCTTATAACGGTTCCATTTTTGTTTATGTATTAGCCTTCTTTTCAGCACGATAGATCAATTTTTCCCCAAAAATATTTGGCGCGACCGTTCAATCGATCACATTTTCATGGGTTTTTTCGTGAAACATATATATACGTACGTTTTATGCATTCAGATACGTCGACGGAAGTGGGCGCGCATAAAGATTTTGATCGATGTGCGCGATATTTTTTTAACGCATCGCGACGATCGTTAAATTTTCCACCTGACCACGGAATAACAGATGGCACGGTGCTTTCTATGCACACACAGTTGATGCCCATAAAATCTGTCATGCATACGCGTCGCCAAAAGGGTGTACCGCCGAAAGTAAGCCACGCGATAAATGAATGTCAGAACTGCCTGACTTTTATATCAAGTGTACCGCACCCACATGAATACGTTAAATATGTGTCATTTTTCACCCAAGACATAAAATTTATTTCGATTGTGAAGGTTTGAACTGTTTCAACGGTGTATGTAAAATAGATTTTAAACTAATTATGTAATTTTTAATAGAATATTTAAATTGTAGGCTTGACAGAAAAATTTTAAGTGTCATATATAATTATCTTCTCTTCGTTAACAAGAGCAAAAAAAAGATAGAAACTACTGAGATAAGGCTACTTATAAGTAAAGTGTGCAAAGAAAAATATCAATTTTCTACAGAGATCCAGACCGAAACAAAATTACGATTTGGTTTTGGTTCAATAAAATATTTAATAACTGTTCCGATTCTCCAGTTTCGGTTCCTTGATAAATAAAAGACTCGTTTAAATTACGGTTTCTTTCAGTTACGGTTCCGGTACTTTTAAAATTATTGCTTTTTTAACTTTTTTCTACTTAACAAATTATATTTTGTTTTTAGCAATTATATTGTTGTTCTTTTTATGTAAAAATGCAGAATTTATTAAATTTATTTATTTACTTCTTTTTTTTTATATTTCATTATAAAATAAAGAAAAAAATAATAGCAAATGTATATAAATAATTATTTTTGTTTTCTTGAAAAAACAAAGACTTAATTCTAAAAGTAATCATTTTTATGCATTTATTGTTTTTTATTTATTATTTCTTCCATCTTTGACTTTTTGAAAATTCTATTTTTATCAGGTCTATTATTTTCCAATGATATTTTTTCTTTCATTTCTAATTTCCTAAAATATTTATATCACAAAAATTAAGAGAAAACAGAAGAGAAAGAGAAGAAAAATTCTAAAATATAAATAAAATACTTCATAAAAATAAAAATAAAATATTTTACAGAAATAAATTGCGCGTGCAAGAACCGAAAAAGTACCGAAATGAACCATAAACCGAAAATAATTTAACGATCCCGGTTATGGTTCCGGTGTTATAAATTTAACAGAATTTCAATACGGTTTACGGTTTCGGTCCGATTAAAAAAAAACCGGTTATAGAACGGTTATCGGTTCTGCTTCCGGTTCGATCCCTGATTTTCTACACATTATATATTAAAAAATATCTATAATTTCTTTCGTGATAATTTATTTAATAGCATATTATATTTTGTGTAACTAACTATATGTCTTGTAAAATATATAAAATTGAAGATTTTTCTCTCCATCTTGCTCACAGTTAAAATCCTTTGAATTTCTACCTAAAGAACCTTATAAAACAGACTTATCTAGGAAAGATTTGTACAAGATATTTCAAATATCTTGTCATCCGAAAAAAGATTTGACTGCAAAAACTAATTTTATTGCCGACGATATCGTCGACAGTCGATTTTCTCGTGGACGCAATTACTGTTTCCTCTCACGAATCGAACGCGAACTCTTGATTTCGACGACGACCCTCTTGCGAAATCGGCGACGGTAAAGGGTGTCTTTGCGATTGCGCGACCTCGTGACTTCCGTGGGCGTCCTTCTACTCGGGCTTCGATCACGCGAACCCACCCTTTGTCGGTTCCGTCGCACACACGTCGACACGCCTCCAGGAATCGTCCGTCATCGTAAAAAGCGTCACCGCGGGGAGGCTGCAGGCGTGTAGCGTAAGCTCATAAGAAGGGTGGAAAGCTCGTCGAACCGCTTGTTTCGCGCATCTTAATTCACACGGCATTTATCGATGTAAAGTTTCTGACATCGCGCCCTTCCGGAAAAAAAATTTATATTAAGCATCAGAGCGGCCACGTAAAGTTTTTTTTTTTAATTCGATATAATAGCTGTACATATATATATGTAAAAAATATATATTTTATTTTGCTCTTCTATTTTATTTATACGATATTTTATTTTTTTAATTTCTAATACATATTTATAAAATGTATCCCTTAAAACTTTCTCTCTCTCTTTCTCTCTTTCTTTCTCTGTTTATAGAAAATATTAGTTAGAACCAATTGTCACGGACCGGAACCATGATTAG